TATCTATCTATCTATCTATCGTACTATCTATAATATATATATAATAATGCTATAATGATATAATCATCTATATATACTGATAATAATCTATCTATATATTAATAACCCGCTATAAAGACGGCGTGAAATAAAACGTCAGAAGCAGAATCCATTGGTTTAACACTATCACCGCTTCAATCTGCACATCAAAAGTTGTAATTAATAATTATAAAATTTCTTCAAAACGATGCCAATCACAGTAACATCTTTCAAAACCCACCTTTATGCTCGTACAGAGTATTACACGCTCACGCGACACTCTTTTTCAAGCACCGTTTCACAAACTCGATCAACCCCGTGACCAAATGCTGCATACCCGTGTGGCGGAAACGTTGGCAGTACTTGCAATTTATCACGAATAGTCTGTGGTTTCCCAGGCCTCGCAGAATTATAGTAGCGGATTCATTTACATGCTGTCGACAACCTCATTTACGCCAATTGACATGCGTTAAATTCAAATTTACTATATGGCGAACAAAACGCCGCTTGCGATAGGTTTGTTTGAAACCCTAAGATCTATCGCTCATAATAATGCATGGTCCGGTTGGCTGAGCCATTTAACAGCCAACCGGAATCACCACAATTGATGACGTGCGCGGGTTTGTGGCTGCCAACTGACACCAATATGTACAATACGCTCAGCGTCGACCACATGACGAGCAGAAATGATTTGAGGTTGTTTTTGAATCCAGGGCATAAACGTAAACTTAATTTATCTTGTGAGTTTGAGTCCATTGCTTCGTTGTGTGTCGTGGGGGTAGTTGTGTGTGTGTGTTGTGTGTGTGTGTGTGTGTGTGTGTTGTGTGTTGTGTGGTGTGTGTGTGGTTGGTGTGTGTGCGTGCGTGTGTGCAGGCGGTGGTGTGTGTGTGGTGTGTGTGTGTGTGTGTGGTGTGTGTGTGTGTGTGTGTGTGTGTTATGTGTGTGTTTGTGTGTGCTGTGTGTTGTGTGGTGTGTGTGTGTTGTGTGTGTGTGCTGTTTTGTGCGGTGTATACTGTGCGTGTTGCTTCCTTGTCGTCGTATCATGGAACTGCCGAATTGTGTGACTCATTGATTATACTATAACGCATTGTATTTTTCTTATTATATTTATTCTATTCCAAGCTGCTGACCTGATGAAGAAAAAAAGTATCCAGAAAGCTGCTGTCAAATTAAACGTTTAAACACCTTATTCTATACATTGACTGTTATGAGTTTATTATATATTATATATAAATATTAATATATATATATATATATGTGTGTTGTGCGTGTGGTAGTGTGTGTGTGGGTGTGTGGGTGTGGTGTTGTGTGCTCTGTCTTTCAATTTCCTATGCCTCTGTCGCTCGTCTCTTATATATAATCATCGTTCTTCAGTGTTCTCTACTCTCTCATCTCTCTCCTCTCCTCACTTTCTCTCTCTCTCCTCGCTCTCTCTCTCTCTCTCTCTCTCCATCTCTCTCCTCTCTCTCTCTTTCTCTCTCTCTCTCTCTTCTCTGTGTTCGTTTATCTGCTCTCTTGCTCTCCTCTCTCTCTCCTCTCTCTCTCTCTTTCTCTCTCTCCCCTCCTCCTCTCTCCTCCTCTCTCTCTCTCTCTCCTCTTTCTCTCTCTCTTTCTCTCTCTCTCTCTCTCTCTCTTTCTCTCTCTCTCTCCTCTTTTCACTTGCGTGTATAGCTCGACATTTGATTGAAAGCTTTAGCGTCGGCCGCGCCGCACGTACGGTTTACATCTAATAGATCTCTTACCTTACCAGCTGATGCGCGATACTTGTGCATACTAACGCGCGCACTACTGCGCATTCAACGCGTTAAATTTCTCCATTACTAGACTAGCAAATACTTCGGTCATGCATAATCATCCACTACCTTAGGACAAAAATGAAGCGCTTAGTTTCTTCCCATGTCACTGCGCGTTGTCTTATAAAAGGCATTTGAAAATACCCGCCAATCGTTGGTTCAAATATCTCCGATGTTGTTTGACACTTTCGCGTTGCTACTGCCAAGCAACCGTGGAGCGGTAGCAGCGGTAGCGGGCCCGTCATAGCAAAGATAAAAACATGTTGACGCTCACCTAACCGATTCTCGGCAAATTGTTTGGCAACAATTTAGCTGTTAGGCGCCGATTATCAGATTTCGCCGAGCCTCTTTCTTGTGGGTTTAAGCCACACGCAGCACTGAAATGGAGGAACAAGAGTTTATTTTGCCATAAGGGTAGTTGTGATTATGCATGACACGAAGTATTGCTAGTCCTAGTACGGAGAATATTAGCGGTTGCGATGCGCATAGTGCGACTGTTAACGCACATCGACCTGATACTGTCCACAGAACAAATCCGGTGCAACATCATTCCATAGTAGTCGTGCGCCCAGACACTACCAGTCGTACGCCTAGATATCAATATATATATATATCAATTATATATATATTATATATTATTATATATATATATATATGCCAGACAAACAGCAGTGTACGGAGGTACGGTACAGTGGGTGTGATATGGGTCTGTGAAAGGGGTTTTATCGACCATGGACCACGGTTGAAACATCATACTTCCTCCAAATACAGATGCGTGCGTTTACGTCATGGGTGCGTGCGTGCGTACATTGTGCGTGCGTGCGTACATAGGTGCGTGCGTACATGGGTGCGTGGCGTGCGTGCGTACATGGTTCGTGCGTGCAGTGCGTACATGGGTGCGGCTTGCGTGCGTGCGATACATGGTGCGTGCGTGCGTGCGTACATGGAGCCGTGCGTGCGTGCGTACATGGTGCGTGCGTGCGCGTGCGTGCGTAACATGGGGGTCGTCGTGCGTCGTGCGTGCGTCGAGCACTGGTGGTGCGTGGCGTGCGTACATGGGTCGTGCGTGGTGCGTACATGGCGTGCGCGTGCGTGCGTAGCATGGTGGTGCGTCGTGCGTGCGTCATGGGTGCGGTTGCGATCGTGCGTGGCGTACATGCGTCGGGACGTGCGTGGTACAGGCTGGGGGCGCAGTGCGTCGCTACATGGTGCCTGTGCGTTGGGTGCGTGCGGTGTGCGGCTGCGTGGTACATGTGATCGTGCGGATCGTGCGTGCGTCATGGGGCGTTGCGATCTCGCGTGCGTACATGGGTTGCTGCGTGCGTGCTACATGGCGTGCCGTGCGTGCGTGCGTACATGGGTGAGGTGCGTGCTGGCGCATGGTGTGCGATCGTGCGTGCATGGGTGCGTGCGATCGTGCTGTCGCGTACAGGGTGCGATGCGCGCGTGCGTAGCATGGTGCGTTGCGATCTGCGTGCGTACATGGGTGCGGCGTGCGTGTCGACATGGGTGCGTGCGTGCGTGCGTAGAGCTGATGTGAGTGCGTCATGGGTCGTGCGTGCGTACATGAGGTGCGTGCGTGCGTACAGTCTGTGTGTACATGGTCGTGCGATCGTCGCGTGCGTACCATGGCGTGCGTGCTGTGCGTGCATGGTGCGTTGCGTTGCGTACATGGTGCGTGCGTGCGTACATGGGTGCGTGTGTGCGCACATGGCGCTGCGTGCGATCGTGCGTGCGTACATGGGTGCGTGCGGTGCTGTTGCGTGCATGGGTGCGTGCGGTGCGTGTGTATGCGTATTAGCAAGCAGATGGGTGGCGTTTTTAAGCAATGATTTCGGAAAAAATATTTTTTAGCGATGAATGATAAATGTTTTTTATTTATGCTTGACAGTAGTTAATATCTGTTATAACATAAAGGATATACATTACAGGTTTTAAAGATTTTATTTATTTGATATACTACTATATACGTTATTTGACTCGCATTGATTCAATTCTATATGTTTAATTAATTAAGTCATATCACGTTGAACGCCTATGCCCGCCCGGTAAAGGTATATATATATAATATATATAATATATTACTAATATATATATGTATAATTATATATATATATATATATATATATATTATATATATATATGTATAATTATATATATATAGTTGCAATCTCTTGAATGAATTTCAAAATGCAATATGAAATTCGTAGTCATATCTCATCTTTACCAGCATATAAATAACGAACCGAATAGTCTATATCTATCGATTTCTATGATTACCATAAAGACACATTAATTTACGGACGGTTGGTTGGAAACACTCGCAACTTGGGCATAGCGTGCGAAGCTCTGAATAAATTCTAAAGGAAAATGTCTATAGATCATGTACAGAGAGTAAAGCAAATAAATATAATTATGATCGTATCACATTACGCCAAAATCACTTGGCGCGAGCGCGCGCGCACTGTGTGACGTGACCTTACTCGGATGACCTGTAAATCATGAAATCCTAACGAACCAAGCGGCGTAAACTTCCGCTAATAAATTCATTTTTTCGTGTTTTTTTTTTTTATTCAGGAAAGGCGACGAGAGTGTACTGTGAAATAGTCATCGACAGCATTGACTCCATTGACGTCATGGTCATGGTAAATATGGCGGCCAATCAGGCAGCCGATGAAAATCACGTGACTTGTGGTGATCGTAAATCGTAGCAATCAACATCAATTTTACGTAACGAACCTGTGTGTGAGTGTGTGTGTGTGTGTGTGTGTGTGTGTGTGTGTGTGTGTGTGTGTAGTGGTGTGTGTGTGTGTGTGTGTGTGTGTGTGTTGTGTGTGTGTGTGTGGTGTGTGTGTGTTGTGGGTGTGTTGTGTTGTGTGTGTGTTGGTGTGTGTGTGTGTGTGGGTGTGGTGGTGTGTGTGTATGTGTGTGTGTGTGTTTGTGTGAGTGTGTGTATGTGCGCGCGCGCGCGTGCTCGCCCAAGCGTGCGTGCCTACGTGAGCAAGTGTGTGTGCGTGCGTGCGTAAGTGCACGTGTGTCGTTGTTCGACCGAACATCGTACTATAGACTTCCTTTCTTTGCGGGCTGAACACACGCCGGCACCACCCACCCTGCTTCCCGTCCTGTTTCAGGAGTACACGATCAACATTCGTCTACGGCAGTGGTGGATGGACGGGCGCTTCCGCTACGATGACCACCTGCCGCGCAACCGAACTTTCATCTATGCGACCCCGCACTACCTCAACAAAATCTGGCGTCCGAACATCTACTTCACAACGAGAACACGGACATGCGCACAACCTTACATCGTCCAACGTCATTATACAGGTCTACCAGGACGGCAAGGTCTGGTACAGCGTCAGGTAGGCACCTGCGTGACGTCGCGTACACGCGTCGGCGCATGCGCGGCGCGGCTGTGACGTCACGTACACGTGCCGGCGCATGCGCGGCGCGGCTGTGGTGCGAGCCCGCAAGGCTTGCTGGGTGCGTGGGCACCCGGCAGTTAGATGCGATATGATATGACTACTAGGCACTTAGGATATGACTACTAGGCACTTAAAAAAAAAAAAAACCTAACCCTAACCCTAAAAAAACAAAAATTAAATTAAATTAAAGTGCGTAGTAGTCATATCATATCGCATCTAACTGCCGGTTGCGGTGCGCGGATGGTAAACATGGTGGTAGTTGGCGTGTGTTGGCTACGCGTGTGCGTGGATGGTAAACATGGTGTAGTTGGAGTGTGTTGGCTACGCGTTGTGCGTGGATGGTAAACATGGCGGTAGGTTGGCGTGTGGTGGCTACGCGTTGTGCGTGGATGGTAAACATGGTGGTAGTTGGCGGTGTTGGCTACGCGTGTGCGTGGATGGTAACATGGTTTAGTTGGCGTGTGTGCTACGCGTGTGCGGTGAGGTAAACATAGTGGTAGTTGGCGTGTGTTGGCTACGCGTCGTGCGTGGATGGTAAAACAGGTGTAGTTGGCGTGTGTTGGCTACGCGTGTGCGTGGATGGTAAACATGGTGGTAGTTGGCGTGTGTTGGCTACGCGTGTGCGTGGATGGTAAACATGGTGGTAGTTGGAGTGTGTGGCTACGCGGTGTGCGTGGATGGTAAACATGGTGGTAGTGGAGTGTGTTGGCTACGCGTGTGCGTGGCGATGGTAAACATGATGGTAGTTGGAGGTGTGTTGGCTACGCGTGTGCGTGGCATGGTAAACATGCGTGTAGTTGGCGTGTGTGGCTACGCCGTTGTGCGCGATGGTAAACATGGCGTAGTTGGCGTGTGTTAGCTACGCGTGTGCGTGGAACTATTCTTCGGTTACTGATAAATCTTCGTAAATGTATGCACGAAGTGATAATGCTGTATTATATTATAAAATCTCTCTCTGTGTGTCTCCTCTCTCTCTCTCTGATATATATATATAATAATATAACATTCTAAACAGGTGTGTGTATGTGTGTGCGTGCGCGCGCGTGCGTGGCGCGTGTGTGTGTGCGTGGCGTGTGCGTGTGTGCGTGCGTGTGCGCGCGTGTGTGTGCGTGCGTGTGTGCGTGTGTGCGTGGCGTGTGCGCGTGCGCGCGCGCGTGTGTGTATACGTGCGTGCGGGCGTGTGCGTGTATGTGTGTTTATGAATATGTATATGTATATAATATATATATATGTATATGTGCTAAAACAATAACCATCAAGAAACATTGTGAGTAATGCATATACGTGCGCGAATATCATGTATTTATTATTCTATCTCGTTCGCGTACTTTCTTCGGTGTTTATTTGTTTCGGCTTAGTTATTTGTGAGGCTGCATGCGTGGCTACGGGAGGAATAAAACTATGATTTGCGTCATTCAGCGGGGATCTCGCTTACAGTAACAGCGATGGGCAGATGCCTCTCTTGTGCGATACTCTATCAAACATCAGTGATATAGGCACGTACGCCATAGCGGCTATCACAGTGTGTATGTGTGGTTGTGTGTGTGGTGTGTTGTGTGTGTGTGTGTGTGTGTGTGTGTGTGTGTGTGCGCGCGTGCGTGCGTGCGTGCGTGCGTACGTGGTGTGGTGGTGTGTTTGTCTGTGCGCGTGTGCGTGCGTGCGTGCGTGCGTGCGTGGGTGCGTGTGTGAGTGTGTGTGTGTGTGTGTGTGTTTGTGTGTGTGTGCGTGCGTGCGTGCGTGTGCATGTGGCGTGTGCTTCTGCGCATACGTGCGTGCGTGCGTGCATGCGTACACACGTGTGTGTGTACGTGCGGGCGGCGGGCGTTGCGTGCGGGCGTGCGTGCGTGCGTGCGTGACGTGCGTGTGTGTGTGTTATGTGTGTGTGTTGTGTGTGTGTGTGTGTGTGTGTGTGTGTGTGTGTGTGTGTCTGTGTGTGTGTGTGTGTGTGTGTGTGTGTGTGTGTGTGTGTGTGTGTGTGTGTGTGTGTGTGTGTGTGTGTGTGTGTGTGTGTGTGTGTGTGTAATAACGACAACTCCTTGTGTTTTTCACAGGCTCACACTGACGCTCTCATGCCCGATGTGGCTGGCCAAGTACCCGATGGACAACCAGACATGTCCGCTAGAGCTACAGAGCTGTACGGTGTTGCCTTCTCACATTAACCCTCCATAAGCTCATTAGCTCCTGCCCACATTCGCTTCATTACCTCTCTGATTCGAGTTCTATAGAGTATCGAGTAATACACGTGTGCTTAGCATATAAGTGTGATAGATCCCTTTACCTTACTTGGGAATCAAGGAAGTCGTGGTGTGGTCGCGTTTAGTGTTTACTGAGTCGGAATAGAAAACTTGTTTCGTATACTCTTGTGTGCCTTATTTATTACAGCATTATTTGACTGATCACGCACATCGTGTTTAACTTTCCCCGTATATATATATATATAACCATTCCCAAAACGATAGAAACCTTTACAAACAATATGGGAACGCAGCTCACCTTAAAAATAAATAATTGTAATACCGAGAGTGACCTACACAATCATACCAGGAACTAAAGTGACAATACAACTTATATTGATCAACTAAGATGACCTTCTCAATAATTCCAAGACCGAGAATGACTGTCAACATAATTTTACCCGTTTAAAGTACCAGCGGTTTCGCGTAACCTTGGCTTGACACGAATGCTACGAGTTTTGGGGGGTTTCTGGAGTGCAATGTGTAATGTTTGATGCTTCAGATATGCTGAGCACAGACGAGCAATTACTCTACTGGGTCTCAGACACTCCCGTGAGATTCGAAAACGAAGTTAACCTGCCTCAGTTCAAACTGGAGGGACTAACCACGGGTTCCGCTGTCGTAACTAACAGCATAGGTAATGTAACGTAACACGATTATATGTAAGGTAGGACTAACGATGGTGTTAATAACATGTTGATAGCTAGCATGATTGACATTGTAATGTAACATGATTATATGTAAGGTAGGACTAACAATCGTGTTAATAACATGTTGATAGCTAGCATG